AATAAATAGTTTAGTGAGTGCTTACCATGTAGCCCTCCTAACCACCTGTTAAGGTAAGTACTATTATTCCCATTTTACAGATGAGGAAGGTGGGAAAACTACTGGCACATCCAACGTGCTAATGGCATGTCCCATCGCTCTGCTTCCCGTAGGGCTGTGCCGTCTCCCCATAGCGCCCTCCTTCCTCCCTCCCCACACCCCCGTCTTCCTGAAGCCAGCTCTGGAGCACTGAGAACCGGACGGTCCAAGTGCGGCCTTTCCCGCAAGGCCTTTCCCTAGCCCCGTATCCTGGTTCACACCCCTCTTCTGGGGTCCCCGAGCCCCAGGCGCTCACTGCCCATCCCTAGAGGGCAGCCACCCAGTCATTCATCGGCCAGCTGCGGGTGTCAAGGAGACGCCTGCTTCATGCCAGGTACCATCCTAGTCACCGAGGGTGGCGCAGTGAACGAGAGAGAGAAACCCCGCCATCATGGGGTGTACAGCCCAGCGCAGGGGACCGACAATGGGTCGACGAACAAACCGGGACGCGTGTTCTGTGGCAGGAGCTGGTCGGGCTGATGGAGGAAACGGGGAGGCAGGAGGGGCTGACGAGGGGTTGGCTCTTTCACACGGGGGCTCAGGGATGCGCCCCTCATAAGGTGACTCGTGCGCAGGGCCTCAGGTGAGGGCCCAAGTCCACGGACAGGTGGGGAAGAGCACGCCGGGCACAGGGGCGGCACCGAGGCCAGGCCCGGGGCGGGAGTGAGCAGGGAGGAGCGCAGCGGGGGGGTTAGAAGGGTGCTTGGGCCGCCCAGGGAGGGCCCCGTGACTCGCAGTGAGGATTCGGCTTTCGAGTGTTGTGTGTTTATCCCGTTAAAACGTGCGTTCTGAGGGGACTGTCCCATCTTCATGGCTGGCATGGGTCCAGGCCCCTGGCGGCCATTTAATAAATGCTTCCTCATCCAAGTGTGTATGTGTCTTGAGGCCAACGGTTTTGTCTTAATTTATTTTTTTACTTCAGTATAGTTGTTATACAGCGTTACGTTGGTTATATTACTTTCTGGTACGTCATAGAGCGATTCGACATTTTTACACCTTACCATGTGGTCGCCCCACTGATTCTGCTAATCACCTGTCACCGTGCTAACGTATCGCCGTGTTATTGGCTGCACCCTCCTCTTCCTTTCACCATCCACCCCGCCCCCAGCCCCTGCCTTCCGGTGACCACCCTTCGGGTCTTTGTTTCTGGGAGGCCAGCCTTTGCTCACTCTAGTGAGGCCGCCATTGGTCAGAGCCCATGTGGGCCTTCTGTGCTGTGAAAAGTCATCCTTCACTTCGTGTATCAGGCGGGGATGTGCTCAGCAGCGAGGAGCAGAAAACCTACCTCACAGTGGCTTCATCAAAGAGGGGCTTATTTTTCTTACCTGAAAAGAAGCAGGGAAGGTAGGTGGCTCCATGACAACAGGTTCAGCATCTGTGAGATGCCCTTAGCCTCATGGTCATGAGGGGCTGCTGCAGCTGCAGACATTCCGTAAGTGTTCAGGGTAGGAAAGACGAGGAAGTGGCAGAGGGGAGAAACATGGGCCATTTGCCGCTATCCCCTTTTATCCAGAAAGCAAGACTTTTCCTAGAAGCCACCAGCAGACTAATGTATCTCACTGGCAAAACTACGGTTACTTCCGGCTACACATAGTTAATGGGTCACATTGCCTCCTGGAAGAATGATGTTGTCCTGTCATGGAGGGAGAGGGGCAGGTGTGCTCAGGCAGTTCGCAGTCCGTGTTCTGGTTAGCTGAGGATATTTGAACAGTGGACCCAGCACAATCCCTCTCCTTAGCAGTTGTATTTAATCCTGGTTTCCCCCCGAAGTCAGTTGTTTCCCAGAATCCTGCTCCTGCAAACGAAATAGTGCCCTTTAATGTCACACTGTAGCTGTCTATTCATGCAAGGCATTTGCCAGGTGCGCTGCAGCTGGGGGTGGGGGTGGGCCAGGTCAGGGGGGCAGCCCAGGCGGGCCCCCGGGGGGCCCCCCAGAAGGGCAGTGCTGGGCCCCAGCCCGACTCTCGCCTCTCTGATTGCGGGGTCCTCAGAGCCGGCCAGCCTGAGCTGTCAAGTAGGGTTAGAATCCCGACCATTAAGGTTGCCGAGGATGCAGCCTGACAGAGACTTTGCTTGCGATTCTAGCAAAGAGATTCTCAGCTTGTCTGCCCTTCACACCCCCCAGGGAGCTTTTGAAAATTGCAGAAGTCCAGCCTCTCCCAGAGCCCCGGTGTGACGGACACTATCAGCGCTCAGTCTGAGCGTGAAGTCCGGCCGGAGACCTCCGGGGGACACGCGGTGTAGATGCCTGTCACCTTTATTCCCTGCTGCCTCAAGACCCACTCCCTAATTTCCGACATGTGGTGTGCTTGCCACACGCCATTCTTAGGGCAGATCGCCTGAAATCCACACTAGCTAGCGTTTATTTGTTTGTCCCAACAAGTTGTCATTAATAATGATAACATCAGTTCCTAATTGAATTAGACTAATGAGGAATGTTAATTGGGTGCTTGCCTTTTAGCAGCTTGGGTGGTTTTGGCCAAATTGCTCCTTCTCTGCCTCATTAGCTGTGATTTCTCATGGAAAGGCTTTGGGCTGCCCGGCCACAGAGCGGGGCTGCCCCTTGGCGCCCCGTGTTCTGTCTTAACGGGGCGTGTTTCTAGGACCTGGGCAGGGTCGCCTGCTGGTGAGCAGCGCTAACGACCCCCTAGAACTGCCTGTCAGGGCCTCATGAGACTGAAATGCTGCTCACGTTTACAGAGCCGCCCCATCATGTGGTGCCAGGGGAGGCAGAGCTAGGAGGACCGGAAGTCCTTCCTCACATGGCGTGAATACGAAGGGAGGAAGGACCGCCTACCTGCCGGGGGCCACACAGGGCCCAGGGGACCCAGTATAAATGACTCTTCAGCTCTCCCTCCATTGACCTCTCTTTCTTTACTTGTAAATCCAAACTTCCAATCTCTGTCCTTCGTCCTTTACCAACTATTTTACATCTTGGGCTAACGGCAGACTTTGAAGCTCTGTTCAAATATCATTAGCACTACTTTGCAAGTTGGAATTCTTACTTAATTTTGAAGCATCTCTTCCAGTTCCACCCCTGTCTCAGCCGCTGTGAGTGTCACCTGCCTCCGGCCCCTCCCTGGGAGGCGAGCGCCACCTGGGTCCCCATGCCCGTCGTCAGCACCGATGAGCATCAGGGACTCGGAACCGGGGCACAGCGCAGGTGTGGTCTAATCAGAGCGCCGCTCTCTGAGATGGATGCAGCTGGCTGGACCTCAGGCTCCCGGCCCGCAGACACTGTGTCTGCTGAGCACCGACTCCGAGAAGACAGATGAGGAGTGAGGGAGAGGAGAAATATTATTAGTGGGGTGGCTAGCCCACCGCACGTCTGCTTGCAGGCGTGGGCCTCAGGGGCCCAGGCTCCTGAGGTCTCTGCTGGGATCCCCCACAAAGCCAGGGCACCGCGGTGCTGCTGTTCAGCACACCTTTGCCTGCTGGCGATTTTCAAGCTCAAGGTCACTGGACAAGGAACTTCCAAGGGCCTTTATGCCACTAATTTTACTGCCTGGAAACATATCCTTTTGGAGGTTTCGTAAACTGTGCTTATTAAGGCGTTAAGATTCACTTGACATTTACTGACCCCCTAATTCTGTGGGGCACTCGGAACTCGTTTCTCTCTCTTCGTGTCGCACCCGTGGTGCAGGGCGGGCTTGGCTCAGACCGAGACCGCGACGAGGCTCAGAGACGCAGAACCGAAGCTGGAGCCGGAGCTCGGGCTTCTCCCATTGTCCCGTGTCTGCCCCCGGCAGATCCACGGCGCGTCACAGCTGCAAGGCGTCCTGTGTCCCAGGCCCGAGCAACCGGGGATGCTCAGAGGAAACCCCCAGCTCCTTCGCCGGGCCCATGATGTTGTCCCGTGTTCTCTGGCACATGCCCTGTTCTCAGGGTGGAAAGTGGGGCCGGGGAGGCAGAGAGTCCGGGTTTGAGCCCTGAGACGCGAGGAAGACATGAACTCCTCCAGAGAGACTCCTCTGACCCTCCGTCCTCCCGACCCTGCCCCCTGCCGCTCCAGGTGAGGGAGCCCCTCAAAAGTCAGACTGTCCTGCGTTTGAATCTCCGCCCTGCTATTTAACAGCTTGTTGAATTCTGGGCAAGCTCATTGGCTCACTTGGGGCTGCCACTTCCTTGTGCTCCAGGGAAGAGGATGCCTCATTCACACGGGTCCTGTCGGGGTTAAGGACGCCGATCAAGGAAACAGGCTGCTCAGTGTCTGGCCTGCAATGAAGCGCTCGATCCACGGAGCCGTCGTCACGGCCCCCCCGACTTCTCTGCTCCTGCCACGGCCACGAGCCTTCGTTTGGGTTTTCCCAGGAGTGGGCTCCGGGGCGAGGGTCTGAGTGCAGGACCCAGGAGCAGTGGACGCGCTAAGATAGGTGCGCAGCGAGTCAGGGAAGGACGGGCAGGAAGGTGCCAGGAAAGGGGCGCCACCCAGCCAGTTCCCCCGTGGGCGAACTCCAGCCCCGGGAGCCCCGGGAGCCCCAGGTCTCCCCTGCTGGATGGGCAAGGGGCCTGGGGTGTAGCTGCCCAACTCCCAGCACGGGTCAGGCCTTGCTCCTTCGGTCTGTTAACCCTCCGGCCCTGCTGGCCGTTGCATGGGCCGCGGCGTGGGCTCTCCTGGCTTGAGGGCAGGGCTGGCCCTTCCATTTCCTGTATCTCTGGCTTCTTGCCCTGCGCTCATACTAGCCAAGATCGGGGGTGAATATTCGCTAAGTGGGCGAATCTGGTGCACCTCCTCCGCATCTCAGATGCGGGGGGCGGGGGCTGGAGGTGTGGCCAGAGCTGCTGCTCCTGCAGGTTTTCAGAACAGAGACTTGAACCCCGAAGGAGAAACGCAGTGAGGTCGAATCTTTTTTTGTTCGTTTGTTTAGCGTTGGCCTGAACGCCCTCCCTCTGCCGTCCCTCAGGTATGCATCGTGCAGAAGCGGGACACGAAGAAGATGTACGCGATGAAGTACATGAACAAGCAGAAGTGCATCGAGAGGGATGAAGTGCGCAACGTGTTCCGGGAGCTCCAGATCATGCAGGGCCTGGAGCACCCCTTCTTGGTCAACCTGTGGTGAGTGCCGCCCCCTGCCCCCCGCGCCTGCCAGACCCTCGGGACGGAGCCGACGCGGAGGCTGGCACGGCTGTGCCCGGAGGCGTCTTCTGTGCTGTAAAGAGCAAGGAGCGAGCCTTTCCGGGGTCAGACATTTCCTGTGGGTGTTTTGCAGAGAACATTTTCTGATGACTAGTTTGTAAGCTACGTTGTCTGACAAAAGCTTTAGATGTATACTTAATTTCCATTTTGATTCCCCTTTCTTACCTGGTGAATCAGAGTCGAGGATAAATCTAGAAGAGGTTTTTGTCCGTCTGAGAACATGTGGCGTGCGGTAAGAGAAGGCCAAATGCATTCTTCTGTGGCGACTTTTTAGAAAGTCACACCCATAAGTGCCTATGGTAAGAAGGGCTCAGGGTGGCTGCCCTGTGTGGACACCCTGAATTCCAAGTTCTGAATCCAGCCCACATGGCCTGTGTGGATCCATGGTCTGGAACTTTCTCTCCTGAAACTCCCGCCTCCCCAGGCTCCCCAGCTTTCTCTAACCAAACCCTGTGTGTGCTTTTAGCCCAGCTTACAAGGGACTTAGGCCTTCCAGGAGCCTTTGAGAGCAAGAGCCACTCCTGGGTTCTTTGTTTCCGGGAGTCTAACGCAGCCTCAGACACGCTGGCAGCCCGGACCGTCTCCTGAGCTGGGTTTTGTTGGAGGGGAAAGGACAGACTGTTCTAGAAAACAAATTCTGTTTTGTTCTGACCTCAGTCAACGGATCATTGATCTTAAGAGCATCAAAGGGGACCCGATGGGAAAGTCTAGTCTGGTCCGTGTTCCTCGCATCACCAGTTATTTCGATTGCTCGCCATAGAAGCAGTCCGAACACTGGGCGCTAGAACAAGGAGGGGCTTGGGTTGTCCTGTGTGAGGAAGTCCAGGGGTGCCCCGCAGATGCTGCAGCCTTGGGCGTTTCCATGGGGGAAACCCAACTATGTGCTACACACTAGAATCTGGATAGCAAGGGCAGGTCCTTCATGTCTCCAGCAGTGACCCAGACACGTCAGTTGTTTGAGGGAAATAAACCCCTTTGTGTTTTGATTGCTGTACAAGGGAACTTTTTAAAGTAAATTTCCAATCAGGAAAGCAATGTACGTTCCTTGCAAAATTCAGAGAACGAAATACCCAAGAAGGCAACAATGACCCAGAATCCTTCCACCCCTAGATTACTGTGGCATTAATAGAAAAACACGTCGCATTTTAGATCCCACTTTTTCAAATGAATAGTTTGGTAGCAGTATTGTGTTATTATTGCAAACTTTTGGTAAAGCCTTTTTAATGGCTACGTAACATTCCACTTGGAGAAGTTCAGTAAGATATCGAACCCTAATCCCGTCGTAGAGGTTATTTCAGGCTGTTTCTAATGATCTCGCCAGGGTAAGCAATGCTGAGGTCAAGATCCGTGGGCTTGAACTTTCCCAGGGAGTGGGCAGGGGGGTCGGATGCGCGTCTGGGCTGTGATGCGTGTTGGAGGAGGGGGCTGGGTCAGAGCGGTCCCTCCTTAGGCAGCGGTTTTGGATGTTTCATTCGCAGTCCCCTAGATACCAACTGGCGAATGACAGATGCCCCTTCATTCCATGACAGTGCTGGGTAAGAAAGAGCCTCTGCAAATGCTGGCCTCTGATGGCATGACGTTCCCATGCCCTGCAAGAAGGGGGTGGGCCTGTTGCTTGATTTTGGAGACACACACACATACACACACACTCACATACACACATATACACTTGCGTAGATATATTTAATGGATGTATGGTAGATGGATGATAGGTAGTTAATGCCCCTTCAAGGGACAGGTGACAATGAATCCTCAATCCACTGGTTTGCGGTGAATACTTTGCCCTGGGCGTGTTATTAGTGTTTATTTAGGTACATGGGGACAGAAACTTAAATGGGCTGCTGCACAAAAGAGGAATTTCCTGGGTTTCATAGCTAAAGAGCGAATCCCAGCTGACTTGCCCTCTGGCCCCAGCTGCGTCTGTCAGTTTGTTTCAGAGCCGAGACTCATGCTGACCGTGGGTGGCTCCAGCGCGTCCTCCTGGCTGGGCAGCCCCAGCAGAGGCTGAAGGTCACAGGCTGGCCTGTGGGACCTGGTGTGGGTCACGTGCCCACCGGAAGCAGTGGGGGAGGGGTGGGAGGTTGGCCCCGCCTGCATTGCAGGAACAGAGGATGAGGGAGGGCAACTCCAGAGGGACATGGGGAGTGTCTCCAGACCCCGGCAGAGGCTGCGCCTGCCAGGCGCAGCGCCCGCTCCTGTACGCACTGCCCTGGGCCCTGGAACACAGGCTCCCGAGCAGCCCCGCAGGGTGAGGGCTTGGGCTCGGGCTCGGGCTCCATCGCTCAGGGCAGGAAGCAGGGCTCCCTGCTTTGCCTGAGGTGACTGAACTGTGGCTCACGCTCAGACCTTCCCCCGGGCCCTAAGGTTTTCAGTTCTCGTAGAGAATCGACCACTAGCAGTTACTGTCCTTGGCCAGTGTCACCTTCAACTCTTTAATCCCCTGTCAGCCTCTTTGCTTTCCTGTTACCAGCCTGATATTACTGTTCCCATTTTACAGATGGGCCACCTGAGTCACATCACTAGTAAGTGGAGGAGATGGAACGCAAACCCAAGTTGCCTGGCTTCACAGCCCCCTGGCTTCACGGCCCCCCTGGCAACCCCTCTCGCAGATGCTGTGAGGAGGCCCTGGCCCTTCCCTGCTCAGCCCACCGCCCCCTACCCCGGCACGGAGCCCCCAGGCCTGGGCTTCTGTTGGCCGCCTGCCTCCCGCCGGTGGGATGGGGGCACAGGGAGAAATTGCTTGTCAGGTTCTAAGGACACCGCCTCATATTCACTCCCCGCCGGCTCCTCATCTCCTTATGTGGAGGGGGAAGTGTGGGTGCCCGGGAAATCTGCCCGGCCCCTCCCCGTTCCCGTTTTCGCTGACGTGCTCCAGAGCAGGCCCCGGGCGAAGGCTGGCACGGGTTCTTACCGTGACCGTGTTGTCTGTAAAGAGTGAATGATGGCTGCTCCCAGGCCTGGGATGGTCCTAGTGGAGTCGTCAACAGCAGTGTTTTCACCTGTTCCGAAGCAAAGCTGTGGTGTACGCTTGGGCTTCCGACAACCAAGGCAAAGGAGGAAGGGAAGGAAAAACTCCGGCCTGCGCGGGGAGGGCGTGGGTGGGAGCCCTGGGCACGAGAGGGCGCGGCGGGGGCCGGAGAGCGCCCCAGCTCCGAGGACGGCCCTCCACGCCGCCAGTCCAGCTCCGCCTCCCAGGAGCGATGAGGCTGCTGGACGCTGAATGGGCCCCCCCGCACCGTCCGTGTGTTGAAGCCCTGACTCCCAGCGTGACTGTGCGGAGAGACAGGGTCTTTAGGTGGTTATCATGGTCAGCGAAAGACCGCCCCGGCACAGCGTTGCTGTAAGGACCACGGGGGGCAGTAGCGAGCAGGTGCCGCGCGGGCTGGGCAGGAGGTGACTGCCGCATCGAGGACTTCCACGGGGTGGCTGTTGGGCGCGCTTGTCCTTCAGGCCAGCCTTCGGCTGGACAGCTTGTTGTCCCGTTCCCCTCTGGCAGTGGATGTGCGGACCTGCTGGCGTTAGGAGGTGAGTCTTGAGTTTTTAATATTGGACTTTTATCCCAGTTAAATGGTAGTAGGTGGGTAGTTCACGGGTGTTTTCAGACTGTATTTTCAATATCCATTTCTGCTTCCCTGACTGGTTATAGTCACGAGACCAGCTGTTAAAATGTTTTGTTTAAAATGGGACAAGGGCCTGCCCTGCCCAGCTGACCGCTGAAGCCACTGTGGGTGCGACTACCTGGCAGAATTGGATAAGAACAGACGCCTGGGATCAGTTCAGACAGTTCTCATAGGAAGCGTATGTTTCTAGAACCTTCCCCAAGTCACAATGGACTGAGTCAATGTGTCACTCTAGGCTAAGACAGAACCAGTTAAATTAGTGGCTGATATTTTTTTTAAGGCACTGAGACCTAGGATTAAAATATAACTGCATAAGATGTTTAAAGGTGCGGCTGGGTGGGCTGGAGCTGGGTGCCGGTGGGGGAGGAGGGGACAGAGACTGGACGCCCCGGGGAACCTTGGGTGAAGGATCCAAGTTCTTGACAACAATCAGCAGGTGCTGAGCGGCCTCATGTCCATAAAAAGAACCATCACTGGCCCTGCCTGTCGCGACAGCCTCCCAGCTGGCGGTTCCACGGTCAGCGGCTGCCCGTTGTCCGCGGTGCGCCCTGCACTGGCCTTCCTCAGGTCAGGCCATGACAACAAAAGCCGTCGGTGGGGGGCTTAAACAGCACGCCTCTGTCCGCCGCGGTTCTGAGGGCTGGGGAGTCCAAGATCAGGGGCCAGCGCCGTCGGTTTCTGAAGCGGACCCTCTTCCTGGTTGGGGGAGGCCGTCCCCCTGCGGTGAGCTCACGTGGGGGAGAGAGAGAGAGCTCCCTCTTGTCTCCTCCTATGAGGGCACTGATTTCCTGCAGAAGGTCCCGCCCTCACGGCCTGATCACCTCCCAGAGGCCCCGCTTCGGCCGCTGTCCCCTTGGGAACTGGGGCTCCAGTGTGGGAATTTTTGCAGGACACCAACATGGAGCCTCTAGCACAGGGAACTCGTACCGAGCTGCAGATGGGAGCCCGCCCGCCTCCTGTGTGGAGCCCTGCGGCGGCTCCCAAACCCGCAGAATGAGTGTCCCGCCTCCTGACACCGCCCCTGCCGCCGTCTGGGTACGCTCCTGCCCCCGCCAGGCCGCCTGAGGAGCAGGGCCTGCAACTCACCCCGCTGTCTGCCTCCCTCCGGGCCCCTGCGCCTGCGGCGCCTCCTGCTGGGACGCTCTGCCCAGTGCTCACTGGGAGAACTGCCGCTCACCTTCCTGCGAGTGTTCGCTCGTGAAATGCATATTTAGGGGGCTCTTATTAGGTGCCAGGCACTGTCTCAGGCATCACCCCCTCCCCGTCGGGCATCCTGAGGGTGGCTCAGTCACCTTTGTC